TTCAAATGCGATCGTAAAAAAAGTTCCTGTCAATGCTTCCTTCGCAGGTATTATAAATGATCCCTACGGCGTTACAGATTACGATTATGTTAATGTCTCGCGTCGTTCAATAAGACGACTAACGTTTAGAATAACTGATGAAACGGGCAACCTTATCGACTTCAACGGCGTCGATTTGAGTTTTTCGTTGCTCTTCCATAATAGCGATGCTACATGAAACGTAATAGAAAATATATAGAACAATATATATATATGACAGATCAAAGCTCGGAAATTGTAGCAGTCAATGATGAACCTGAAAACGAAGCAACCGAAGCGCAACCTGAAACCGAAACACCAATACCTGAACCGGAAAAGGAAGAAGCTAAAAGAGTTAAAATTCGTGACGTTGTAAAAGAACCTGCTGAATGTAGGGACTGTAAAAAAACGATGACTATAAAAACGTTGAGATATACCCATCCTGAAAAATGCGAAAAGAAACCAAGTAATATTATTGATAAACCAGTAAAAAGACAAGCTCCTAGAACCAAAGCAAAAATAAACGTTGAACCTCTCGCACCGGAACATAATGAAAATAATTCAGTGGCACCGCCACGATATCAAGAGCAACAACCGCCTGTTACAAAAGCAATTCCGCCAGTGCAACCGCAACAATTTTCAAATCCTTATGCAAATTTAACGCAACAACAATTATTGCAACTACAAATGAAATCAATGAACGCCGAAATTTTGAGAAGAAGACAGGAAAAATCTGATAATATGTGCAAAGCCATGTTTCAATCAAGAAGTAAAAAATCTAAATAATAATATATACAAATGGTTCTATATAATAGGTTCAAATTTCAGAAAAATAAAAAAATGCATAAGAAAAAATCATTAGATAATCCTGTCGTGAATTCGCCGGAAGATCTCGTATACCGACAGCAAAATATTGATTATCTACTGAATTTGAAAAAGCAACTGGAAGCGAGAGAGGCAAAAGAAAAAAACATAGCGTTTAAGCGTAGATTGTTAGAGGGTCAGATGAAAGCAAATTATGAAAGTGAGATGTCAAGATTGAAAGGGGAAATGCATAATCCAAGAATACCCGAGACTTCTCTGGAACATCTCAGAAAAAGATATGACACATTAAGCGAGTTAAGCGAGACTATTTTCTAAAACAATATATAAAAAAGAATGGTAGTTAAAAACGCTGGTATACAATTTCACAGAAGATCTAGATATGAAGATATTTTGGAGCTGGTTAATGACGATGAAGAAGCGTTAAAACCCTTTCCTAATAGAGATGCTGTATTCTATAAACAAAGCAACAAAGGAACTCGTTTTGATGGAAAAGATCATTTAGATAAATTAAAGGTTCAAGAAAAACAAATTGCTGAAAGAATTGTTAGGGATCATATGCTACGCGAATACGCTAGCGATAACAATTTTACACATAGAGCATTATTTACAGAGCACGATCGCCCAGAACCAGAACAACCCAGATCGCCAGAAATGTTTCGTATTGCAACGGACACCGACAATATGTCTTTTATTGAAGAATTCGGCACACCCCCCGAGCAACAATTGTTTCAAATCGATGAAACATTAGGAAACGTAGCAACCGCACGTCAAGGCAACCAACAAGCAATCAATCAAGCGCACCAACAACAGTTAGAAAGAGAGGAAGAAGGCGGTTCGGGCATTCTTCGGAGTTTAGGAAGCGGGGCATTAAGTTTAGGAAGCGGGGCATTACGAGTAGGGGGTAATGTTGCGGGTAATATGATTTCCGGTATGGATTTTGGAACTGCCGCGTTTGCTGGACTTACACAGGAAGCCGCACAAGCATTAGGCGAGACATTAATGAGGAGAATAAGCCCGCCACCGAGACAACTGTTAGATTTTACAGGAGATCCTCGCGCGGGTCAATTTACAACTTATGACCCCATGCCAATTCCAAACATGGAATATTTACAACCTTCAATAGTTTTACAACCACATCAACCTAACGTCGGTGCTACACAACAACCTTTACCGATTGCATCATCAAGCCAACCTACGCTAGCAGAATTACCACCAATACCACAGCGACCAACAGAGCCGAGAACAAAAGCAAGACCCAGACCATCACCGAAAACACCGCCACCACCACAGCCAAATTTTCAAGAAGGCGGTTCGTCAAGTTCAAGCGGAAACGCGCCACCGCCACAACCACCGCAACCACCACAAAATGAACGCCCACGAACCCGTTTAACCAGAAAAACAAATTTGAAGGAAGGAACAACAGAAGAGCAGGATATGGCATCACCTACATTAATCATTCCAAGCAAAATAGGTATTCAAAAATTGAGAGAAGTATTCGAAGAAGCGAACAACAGAAATACTATAAATACTAAAACTTAAGGAAGCTATAAAAGTATGTATAACAATTGGATTAGGTCAGCGGGAGATAAAGAAATGAAAAAACAATATCTGAAAGAACTCAAAGATTTGTATAGAAAAGAAATATTTAGAAAATAAAAGCTTCAAAATATTTCAATAAATTATTATTCTTTATTGAAATATATATTTTCCAAAAGTTTTAAAAGTTTTAAAAACTAAAATATATAGTATTATATATATGAAAAAATCGGTTCAAGATGAATTGTTTGAAATACTCTATAAACAAGCAAAACATGAATTAGAAAAACTAGAAATTATCAAAGAAAGTAGGATAAGCAAAATTGAGGAAATTAAACAAAAATGCGTTATAGAAAAGGAAGAACAGGAACATTTAGATAAGGAAATGAAATATTTAGAAAAACAAATTGAGCTTCAAAAAGAATTAATAGATTTATATGAAAATAATGATTAAAAGTTTTAAAAGTTTTAAAAACTAAAATATATAGTATTATATATGTTGAAACTCGTTAAGGAAGTCACGACAGGCAGGGACATTGCAAAATGCGAATATCAAGAGATATTAGAACCTTTTGAAATAGAATTAGATAAATTAAGTGTTGATTATGGAAGGAAAAAATACTTATTATTACTAAAACAAGAAAAGATCATGACAAATATGAAAGTGCGATTTAATACATCACCAGCTGATGACGAATATATTAAAACTATACGAAGAGAATTAAATGATTTACAGTGTTATTTAAAAACCAAACATGCGCTATAATCCAAAAAAACAAAACTTTTAAATTTATGGTATATGGTAAATGCTTAAAGAGATACTAGCATATACCTATATATAATGCCGAGTTCAAGGTTATGCAGGGGGTGCCAAAGAATGCGTGAGTGGTGGGAATTTTCAGAAAACTTCAAATTATGCGACGATTGTAGAAAGCGATATCGCGAAAAAAGTAGGAAACTATATGAAGAAAACCCAGATTTATGTAAATTAAAACAAAAGCAATACAGGGACACTCATAAGGAGCAGGAAAAATCAAGACATAAAAAATATCAAGAGGATAATAAGGAAAAAATAGAAGCACATAGAAAAGAATATATGAAAATAATATATCATTGTCCATTTTGTAATTATGATGTAAAACATTACAAAAAATCACAACATGAAAAATCAAAAATGCATCAAAACAATGTAATCTTAAAAGAGCTTGAAGATCTGAAAAAAATAAATATTAATCTAAATGATATTGAAAATAATGAGGTTAAAAACTATATAAAATCATCATCATAAATTTTGATAAAAAAAAATTTACAAGGATTTTTTTACAAAGATAATTTATAAAAATGCAATTTTTCAACAAATATTTTTGAAAGATTTTTACGATGAAAATTTTGAAAATTATTTTTATGAAAATTTTGGAAAATTATTTTTATGAAAATTTTGGAAAATTATTTTTATGAAAATTTTAGAAAATTATTTTTATGAAAATTTTGAAATATTATGTTTTGAAAAATTTTGAAATATTATTTTTATGCAAATTTTGAAATATTATGTTTTGAAAAATTTTGATAAATTTTATGATGAAATTTTTAATATATTTTATCATAAAATTATTAATATTTTATTGAAATTTTTGTTAGGAATGGTTGAGGGTCGGATGTCAAAAATGAGGAAAAATTGTTGGAAATTGGAAAACGTAGGGTATACCCTAGCAAAAAAACGTGTGAGGCGTTCGGGGGGGTGAAACATAAGTTGGGGCATGGCTATGGCTAACTCCCCTCCCCCTTCCCCCCCCCCCCTTCCCCCCCCTCAGGGGCCTGGCTCAACCCTACGATCAATCCAAGCCGAACCGTCTTGAACCCTAAACCCAAAAAAACCCTAAACCCCAAAGCGTGAACCTTGAGCCCTAAGCCCTCAATCCTAAACTAACCCTCAACCCTAAACCCCAAACCATAAACCATAAACCCGGAACCCTAAACCCGAAACCCAACCCTTATTGCTTGGGGTCCAGCGACTTGGGCGCTGCGGAATCACCATTCTCACTCGGATGCGCTGGGCCGGGCCGAGGCGGGTCGCGTAGCGTTAAAATTAAAGAACCGATCAAGAAGCTAAAGCTGTATCGTATTAGTACGAGAAATAAGAATGCACAGCATCGACAAGCAACAAGCTACCAGAAAAATCTAGCAGAAGAAACTGAACCAGTAGAGGAGTCGTAGTAAAAGTGGCAGTGACTGAACTAGTAGAGGACTCGTATTAGAAGTGGTAGTGGTAGTGGAGGTGGAAGTGGAAGTGGTGGTGCTAGTGAGCTAGTGGTAATCGTCGTCGTCGTCGAAGAAGAAGAAGAAGAAGTAGAGTAGCAGTAGCAGTAGGAGTAGGGCAGTCATAGTCTGTCTCGGTTCTCTCTTCCCTCTTCTCTCCCTCATCCCTCTCTTATAGATTGTTTTTCTCTATTTCTCTCTGTGTCTCCTTTCTTAGAGAGCTGATAGTTTCAAACTCCTCTGGGCATCCACCATCACCCGTCCAGCCCAACAGAAACCTGTTGCCCAGCATTAACCTCAAAGACAGAATTAATTACTAAGCCCTCGTGATCACAGGCAGACTTGGGCTTTGCTAAGGCTGGCGCTGCACGCCTTGATGGTGCAGCTGTAGGTGATCACCTGTGATCAGGAGTCACAAAGATCGACTCTAAGCGTGCAGTAAGAGCTACTTCGCAGTAGGTGTTGATTTGATTTTGTACAGATGCACGGGGTGCCGGACTGACTTGGATGCCACTGGACCCGACTGCGACTTCCAAGTAGCTTCCCCATCGATATTTTCCATTGTGCGTGTGTGCTGGTTTGTAGCATCCTGGCTCAATTCAGATAAACAGTAAGACATGGATGTGCTCGTGCAACATTACGAATGAGGCCATGAAATTAATAATCTAAGCTGCTCGAGGTCAAACTGAATAGGGTTTGATGAAATAACCTCATCAAACTTCTTGTGGATAGCTCTGTGCATCATCCAAGCTGCGCTGGCCAAAACCTTCAGCAGGGTTCTTTGGCACAACACGCAGTGGAAACACAAAAGCCCAAGACATCACAAGACCAGGAAGAAGCGAGCGAGAGCTTTTCTTCGGACACTTATTGTGCTTTCCGCATGATCTCAAGCCCAGCTTTACCCTCTCATGCAACTTTGCTGAAATGTCCGCAAACGATCTCAAACGGTGCGACTCATGACAGTTCGAAGTTAAATGACGCACCTCGGCCTGCTCCATAGTCCAAAGCAGTGCCAGAGCGACCGTCCACTGCGCAGCCTCGGACAGATCCGAAAAGGACGCTGAAAGCGCTGAGCACGTTGTCGCACTCTCTGCGGGCCTTCTCACACGCCTCCACAACGCTGTTGAAGCTCACTTCGTCAGGATGCACTGCGTATGCCTTGGATGCTCAGGTTTGCAAGTGAAGCCAAAAGGAGCGAAAGAAAGAAAGTAGAGAGAGAGAGAAAGAGAGAGAGAGAGAGAGAGAGAGACAGAGAGCACTGTATGACTGAGAGAGATTAAGACTAAGAATTGAGACAAGCCATGATCTCGCAGCAGGCTACTATAGGAGCGGTAGCTCCACGGAGGTCATTCGATAGCATGCAATAGCTTTAGCTGACCTTGGGAGCCAGCTCTCCAGCCAAATGCAGCTATGTGGACATCTCCAGGAGATCCCTGCTCTTGACTTCAAGCACCAAGTAGGCAATTCGGCTCTTGGACGCGCATAAAAAAGCGCAGCTTGCTTGAAGTCTGTACCATGACGTGCTGCAGGAAACTGCGAGAGGAGGTGGACAGCCGCTTGCCACTGACTGCCTTTGGGTCGGCAGTACGTAATTTCGATGTCTGCGACTCAATGCTGCCAGGCTGAACTACAAGTATCTTGCGCAACCTTGTGCAGGCGGCCCGAATGCCTAGACACATGCCGTGCTACTCTTTTGCCTCAGACTTTTCGGCATCAACGCAAACAGTCTTGAGTTAGACGGTCATCTAGAACTCGGAGAGTCTTTTGTGATGCTTGGGGGAACATTGGCGGAGTCATCTTCACACCCATCGGATCCAGAGTGCTTTCTTGCCCATACATCGACAGGACTATTGGATCTTCTGCTAGTATGCTTACGGGCTTTGCATGATTAGGACATGCATTCCGTCAACACAACCAAGTTACGACTACATTCAACAGATGCATCTGGTTCATGAAGAATGAACATCTTCGCTTACATGTGAGCCTTCACCAATGCTGCTATGAGATGCTCTTTGCCAACGAAGCAAGGGCAGCACCCAACCCGATCCTGAGGCGCGTTTTGGCATTCCGTGGCACATCGCGACATGTCCGAAACGCCTCTGCTCAAGATTCCCAGCCCATAGACAAAAGACGTTAAGCAACCCACGAAGTCATGACTGGCAGCGACTAGCAGTGCAGCACGACAAGGAATACGGTCGGAAGCTTTGGCTTCTGCTGTTGAGACTCTGGTCGACCAGCACTTTTCGCCTGGACGAGGCGTTATAAAGGCTGCCACAGGCAGGAACATAAGCGCTAATGTGATGTGCTCAGGGTTTTTCTACATCTATTCGACATTTGCCTCCCGAGTAGTTCCAGGGCATCTTGCCATCCGGAAGGGCTGCCTTAGAGTCAAGACTGGTCTTATCCTTCAGATCTTCAGATTAGAGGAATGGCTGTAGCAAAGTGGGGCCACAACTGCCACAACCTTGTGGGCAACGGGACGCCCCGCCCTCCCCCCCCCCCCCCACCCCAACCAACCCGCGTTTGACTGGCTACCTAAGCCCTAAGTGCAAGCTTGCTCAGAGCCTCCACGAAAGCAAACCCTCTTCAACTCTTCAAAAAAGCCCATTGCCGTTTCCAGGTAAAAGGTTCACAGCAATTACCTAGACTAGGTCAGTTGACTATAGCAATCGTGCCATCCCACTGTGTCCGAGTGAGAACACTGGGATACAGGGTTAGCTTTTCGGATTGGGCATGGGAATCTGCGTAGGCATGGCGAGCGACGAACCGTGCCAGCAAGTGCGAAATCTCTCCTTCTACAAGTACGGTACTAAACATCCGCCAAAGTTGCACACGCGCAAGCAGTTCGTCAGGGCAGCGGCGTCAGGAAGGATGGTTTGGACCTTTGGGATGCTTCTGTTTGTTGCAGCTTGGGGCTGGATACGTTGAGGTCTTCGTGACATTCCATGTAAGCCGCAACTATCTGTATCTACGAACCCTAATTGCCACAACTGCACCGAACAATCGGGAAGGATGAATCAGCAACAACCCCTTTCCTTGACTCAATGTAGGGGTTCGAGCTACTATGGCCTTTGCGACACTGCTTCTACAGCATGAACATCACGAGGGCCCAGTTCTGAAACTCACCTGCCTTTCTTGGGTATCTTGGGTAACCGGCCCAGCCTCCATGTGCGTCAACATGGCAAGCTGTTCCTTGGGAACGCGCTGTCTTCTCCGACAACAGATTGGCTTATAAGCACTGACCAACGTCTTGTGCCACTATGGAGGGGCGACAGCCCAATGAAAAGGCTCCTGTATATATGGACTTTGATGGTGAAGAAACGTCTAACTCACGTAACTCACGAATTTCTTTTCCTTGTCGCGATGACTGGGCAGGTTGTGCATCACACGTGCACACAACTATCAGAGTCGTCCCACCCTCGTAGGAATACACATTGAGGATTGCGAGTGTGCGTGGGGCCCATGGAAGCCGAACACGGGGTTTTCCATGACAAGGCACATGTGCTATGGTATGGGCACCTGGAATGGCCTGGACTTGAGGAGGGATCCTCCAGGTGTACTTACGCGTCTGCGAGGATTGCAAGCTGCCATGATGCCGCGGTGTACTTCCCAAAGCCCTGGTGGTGTGCTCGCTTAGCAGTTAGCGGTTGGCGTTGTCGCTGCGTTCTCGCCCTTTAAGCCTCACAGGGCCCTTTAAAGCAGGTACAGCTCCTTGACAGAAGCTCTCAAAACCCCGCTTGCGATCGAGTAGACGCTACAACATGCTTTTTGCATCTCTACAGGTGCAACTTTGGGGGCTTTGGGATCCGATGCAAGGCTCAGACCAAAGAGGCGCCGCGACACTGGCCGCCGCCACAGCATCCCGACGCAGTGTAGCAAGCCTCGCTGCATCATTGAAAATCTGTTGAGATTGGTTCGGTTCAGATCGGTTCAGAGAACCCCTCAGAACTGCAGGTGCCAACGTCTTCGAGGCAAAGCGACGCCATCATGTCAAGGACCTCCACGGCCCGTGGCCAATGCGAACTCCGCTGGAAGCTTCTCATGGAAGATGTGAGCGCGAACTCATCTGGCAGCCTGCTTGGCAACAGGTGGGCAGTAGTCAACAGTGACACTGAGGATGCCAAACGCCCTTTCATTCATACTGGAGGGGTCATAAAGGACGGAAGCGGTTTAAAACCCCCAGGTCATCGGGCATACCAAGTGCAGGCCGGCAGGCACGGCTCTCTCCGACATGTCGCTCGTGGCGGCCTGGACTTAGGCTTCGGCTTCCGGGTTTTTTTTGTGCGCTGGACACGAACTCCTCCTTTTGTAAAAAAGTCAGTTGCGAATGCTGGGTTTTGAGTTTTGGGGGCCGATGCCATATGATGCAGTGTGTAAGCTACTGAACATGAGTTTGCACATAGCGACGTAGTAGCAACCTAATCAGGACAATGCCACAACATCCCGCAACTACAACTACGGAAGGTCTCATATCACACTGGAGACCCTGCTGGCTCAAGGTTTCTGAAGCGAATTGTGAAAGCTCGCAGCCCCCTGAACAAAGGAACAGAGCCCAACCATGAAACAAAGTGGCAACTGCAACGGCCCACTGGGAGGATTCGCCAGCAGCACCGAGGCTGGTAGAATGGCAGATCAGGTCTGGCCTGGCTTGGGACATGCTTCCCTTCCACCTCATGGGCACCTGAATCGCGTGGGCGGATGAGGGGCCGGGTGCTGCCGGTGGGCATGCATGCGCAGTGGATGCCAACCCCCTGCCTCCCATCCACGGCGCACAGCGACTCCAAGCAGCGGATGGCATGACCTTCTGTCTTTTCAGGCTGTACCATTTGACGAGCATCGTGTCTGCAGTTTTCGTTGCAAACCGATGCTCACGTGATTGCATTCTCAGGAAACTAATGATCAACTGCATGTCATAGAGACCCAAAGCCCTGCCCATTCTCAAGCCCAGCGGCGCCACTGCATTGAAGGCCGCAGGGTGTCCGAAACGAGCGTCGCGGAAAACACATCTGGCAGCCTTCCACAGCAGGGCTTTGAATTGGAATTCTGGATAGTTCTGATCCACCCATTTCCACTAGCCATTCTCAACTTGAATGACCGTTTGAACCCCATTGTACGTAATTATCGCTCAGTGTGTATGTGAGGCCTTTTGTAGGTAAGCTAGACTGTCTGAGGGGGATGCTCGAAGACAACTGGCGACTGAATATTCGACGAGCGTGCACAGCCGTCGAGCCTAGGTCGACGGCCAGAAAAACAGTAGTTTACACTGCAAAAAGGTTCAGGGACTGACCTTGGGCTCTACTACGCTCCACCAACCTCAAGATCCTCAAGATTTGCTTCGCATCCTCTAGTGGAACCTTGCAGACTGCCGAGGTGCAGCGTCCTCTGCGCCAGGGCTGGAAAAAGATCCAGTGCTGCAGTCCACTGGCTGCCTTGGCACGGCTTTTTCGAGCTTATAGGGCTTAGGCGAATCTCGGGCTCTCCGGGAATGAGGGTTTAGAGGGAGTTCGACCGCGAGCACGCGATACGGGATGTGCGACACCCCCACGTGGGCACATGATCTCA